GCTCGTACGACCTCCGAATTTAGTTCCATTTTCTCCTGTGTACTCCCAACGAAATGCTTTCTTTAACCATGTCCTCTGGGTCCATTTATCATGGAAATCAAATTTTCTCGAATCCTATAACCTGCACACCAAAAATGACACACAACCGGAAAACGACCGAGAAAATACCAGAGAAACCGAAATAAAGCAAAACACGAAATAAACCATAAAATAAACAAACTCAACTAAACAAATCAAAATGGGGGGAAAAAGAAGGACAAAAAGATAACGACAAACGCAACAAAAATGGGACAAACATGCTTCTTTACGATATTTGGGTTGCCCGATTATTTTAGGTTCTCCTTGGCTTGGAAGTGGACGCGTTTGACATTTGCAGACCTGGCTGGCTGGAAAATATACCCCGTTGGTTATTTTGGGGTTAACATAGAAAACCTGTCGCTCATACGTTTATTTTAGTAATAGTGACCAAATTGGGTATCCACAATCTTTCATAAAGATTGTTTCGCTAATTGATAAAAGAATCTATCTGCCTATCAAAACAAATACGAACATCAAGCAGAAAATAAAAACACAACAGAGATATAAACGAGCCTAACTAAACTAAATAGGTAAGATCAAGTAGACCCAAATGTTCGACAAACAATTTCCATATAAATGATGCTTTAAAATCACTTACATTGCCAATCACTTAAAGCCCTTGCTCCCGGGATAGAAATACTCGGCACCACTATCCTTAACCCTAAAATGGAAGTTTTGAACTTTGCTTCTTGTTTTGCCATCTTCAAGTCCTCTGTTAGTAACAGTGAGCTGTTCACAGAAAAATAAGGTGACTTCTTGGAATTTGCTAGTTAATAAAAGGATTCAGTAATTAAGTACAAATTTATAAAATTGAAGGAATAATTTTTCTACAAACATACAAACTCCAAAAGCTGGCCTTAGATATACTGATATGTGAATATTTTATTCATCGACATTAATAGCACCAATTCAACTTTTTGGCCATGGTCCATTCTAGTGGAGTGGCAATTATAAATTCTTTCTTCCACTGAAAATCTCATTCAACATATATACGAGAAAAAAGGTACGATACCCATCAACATAAAGTAAACAACTAGAAAATAACATCATCCCACGAACATAGAAACAAATTTTACCTATCCATGGACATCGGTAGCTAAACCAGTAGCCATGGGCTCGATCTTAATCACCATGTCCGCTAGATATTCCATATGTAGTAGCAGATTAGGTTCGTCCATAGTTGAATACACATCATATGGTTAAGTGCAACAAGCGAACAACCCTATTCAAGAACATGCGGTGAAAAACGAACAATTTTGTAACATACAACGTAAAGCATAAAAATATAAGAAAATAGAGAAAATGCACCAAAATTGCAAAAAAGAAAACCTACAAAATGTGCTCTTAAACTGGTGCAACAGTGCAAAAAATCCAAGAAGAGGTTGGACGAACCATTAGCATCAACTTCCACAAGAGATACGTCATCGATCAATAGAGTAACATGCTCACTATCTTCATGTGATAGACAAATCTCTACAGTTCTCTGAATCTCGCCAAAAAATGAAATAAATCTTTCCTCCCTAAGTTTTGCTCTGTCACTATCTAAAAACAATAATGTCATAACAGTTACAAAGCCCAATTAAATTATTATACAAATGGACCATAAAGTAAAAATTACAAACATTTACATGCTTACTATTCTAATGCATATTTTGCATCATTTACAAGTATAGATACTACCCAAAAAAATCCGTAATGTATGAAAATACTAATCTTGACATGAGTGCTCACCGCGTTTATCTGCCATAAGCATGTCAAAGAACAACAATTTCTTAGGCTTTCTTTATCGGTGACCCAATGTTTGGGTCACCAGGAAAATACAAAACAAAAAAAAATGAAAAAACAAACAAAAGAGCGTGACCCAGGTCACAATGTGACCTAGGGTCACAACCGGTTGGGGAAGCTTTTTGGAACACTTGTCCAAATGTTATTGGACATGTATATTTTTAAAATAAGATAAAAAATAATTTCTATTTTTAGGAGTTAATTATGTTAAAATAAAGAATAACAAAATTCGTATTTTTTCATTCTCTATAAATTGAGACCACATATGATATGTTTTGGAACACAATTGTAATTTAATATTGGTAATTGATATGTGATTTTATTCAAATTAGTTTTAACTTGTTTAACTAATTTTAGTTTTTCATTCCAACCTTTAATTTTAAATTTTATTGAGTTCGTAATTTTATTTTTAATTATACGGTAAAATATCATTTTTTAACAATAGTTACAACTTTAGTTATAATTTTTTTAATTAATTTTTCACGCCTAAAATAATAGCACAAATAAATTGTGGATATTATTTAATAAGTAAATAAATAAACAAAAATAAAATAAATATTTTAGGTTGGGTTTGATGTTCATCATATTTTCATGCATTATGAGTGATATAGTGTGATGTTTGACCGTGTTTATTGTGGGATTGCGCACCATTTCGTTTGATTTATTAATCTATGATAGAGGTATAGTTGTCGTTGGTTTTGCAGGAAATATGCCCGAAAAAGCGTTAAAGATGGAATCGGGACGAAAAACGGCAAAAATAGGGTGCAGTCAGGGTCACACGACTCGTGTGGTATGTGACACGAGTCGTGTGGGGTGAGAAAAATCGAGTTCTTGTGGAATTTTGCTTCGGCTTTGTCACACGACTCGTGTGTCTAGTGACACTGGTCGTGTGAACTCACACTGGTCGTGTGACCCAGTCGTGTGACCA